GCCTGGGCTCTGATACCAGTTGTTGGGTTCTATTAGGAACGTTGACAATGTGCACATTCAAATCTATTGAATAATAAATCCTAACGCAGCGGAATCTATAGTTAGGATTAGGACTTACGGTTTAAAAATTTTTGCCGACTCTGAGACGTTTCTAATTTCCATTGATGGAGATCGTCTGAACACCAAAGTCTAATGGGCAGCTAGACTTGGCCTTTCTCGATTCTAATCGAGTCACCATGGTGCTCCAATTGCTCATCAAGTTCATCGGATCGTCTCGGACCTTCGGTGAGTAAGTCGGACTGCTCGGGAACCATCTTGGACTCGAACCGGGGCTGCTGGACCTGCTGGACCGCTCCTGGACCGGGTCTAGGCTTGCTGGTCGCGATCTGGGCTCATATGAACGCGCTGGGCTGGAACCACGCTCGCAGGGCTGAAGCAACGTCAACTGGGCCGCGTCAAGATGCTGTTGGGTCGCGCATTGCTTCTGTTGGGCCATGGAGATCCGTAGAGACGTGCTGGGAGAACTGTTTTTGCGCGCGGGCTGGAGATGGGCTTCGCGGGCTGAAGATATGAGGGAGGCGCCGGCCTGGGACGCGGGCTCTCGCGGGCTGAAACTGAGTGAGGGATCGGGCCATCGCGGGCTGAACGCGGGCTGCGCGGCCCGCGTGCCTTCTCTCTCCACTGCTGGTAACAAAAAGAGAAAACTGTTGGTGGTGGGTTTCGAACCCGCAACCTCGCGCACGGAATACCGCCTGGAAGATCACCACGCTACATGCTCTCTTCGATTCCTAGACTCACGCGGACACTAATGAATATGAATGCGAGCTGGACACCTGGGCGCGGACAGACTTGGAGACCTGGACGCGCGCGAGAATTGGGAGAACTCCGGGAATATTTCTGGTGAGATGAACATGTGTATATATTCAACGGGACACGATCTCTAATAAATCTTGTTGGAGCGATTTATTAGATTTCCCAAAACATCTTGATCATCTTCTTCTAAGACCTTACGGTGCTAACCGAATTTTCTCTCTCGAAGAATCTCTCTCTTTCTTTCTCGCTTGAAGAGGCCGAATTTCTCTAGCCCTTCGGGGAGAAAAAACGTGTAAAGCTTTGCCAAGAGATTAGGGGACCTTGTGTATTTATAGGCTACAATAGGGACCTAAAGGAGGTGCTAAATATGGGCTTATTCATTAAGGTTTAGGAATCCTTATTATCTTCCATCTCCTTTTCCCATCTAGGATAATATTCCTAGTGATTAATTACCTTCTAGAAGACTCCATAGTCTCCTAACCCTAGGTAATATTCTAGAAAGAATATTCTCATCCTTAGGGAATTATGGAATATAATTAATTCCTAATTCCTAATCTTGGAATTAAATAATAAAACATTCCACTAGAGTAATATTATTGCTCTCCCCATTTAGCTCCGAATTACAATTAATTCGTTTCCACTGATAAATATATTAATCCAATTGATCGATATATCTCCCCATGTTTAGGATATAACGTCCGTTGATTAATTAAATTACTGATAAAATAATTAATCAACTTCTTATTCATTTCCGAAACTAGTACCACTCAGATCCTTAATCATTATGTCGGATAACACATCCGCCTGCAGGGCTTGACATAATATTCCTTCCTAAGCTCATTTCGGGGACGTCATCAACCCAGCGCACTGGGACACAGTGACCGTAAATAATTTATAACAGCACATCATGTAAATACACTTATTTACCAAAATACCGAGTATGTCATCCTAGCAAAATAGGAATCACCCTTGATAAATCAAATAAATAAGTAATGAATACATATGCCCATTTTATATTATCTTACAGATTAAGAGTACGCATCAATTACTGAAGGTCTAGATTACAACAACAGTCAGTGAGTCTCATAATCTTATCCTGTTCAACACTTAACATAAGTGCTAGTGCAATCCTTCTGTCAAAGACCAACTGAATCAAGAATACACTACAGTCTTTTTCTAAGTGGGGTCTCACTGCCAGTCTGGACTGTGAACGAATAGTTTAGTCTTATAAGGAACCGATAGGTGATCTTTCTGTTCGAAACTCTTCGAACCCCACTACCTCAATATAAGACATGGAGTATGATTGCATAAATAAATAAACTGCAAGCATATGTACTTTAACCGAAACATGATGGCCAGATCAAAATGGAATTGATAGAATCTGTAAATAGGAGCTTTTACAGCATACCTCTAACAGATGGGTCATCCGACCCGTCGAGGCATGTGAGGACCTTTGAGAACATGGCTGTGTTGTATAGGTATTCTGACTCTGTGTGTTGCAGGGCATTACTATCGACCTTGCGGGGAGGAGCACTTGACTGGTTTCACCAATTACCCCCGGGGTTGATCGCAGATTTTGAGGATTTTGTCAGCAAGCTTACCAATCAATATTCAAGCGCGGTGGCGAAGGAAAAGACATATTTTACGCTGATGGCGATGAGGCAAGGAGAGAAGGAATCGTTGAGGAAGTATGTTGCTCGATATAACCAAACATGTTTGGAGGTGCACTCCGCGTCGGATGAGTTGAAAGCAGGAGTATTGATACGAAGTCTTCAAGCGGGGCCTTGTCGAACCTCCCTCGCAAAGACCCCTGCTCGATCATATGAGGATGTTTTAAAGCGATGCAGGAAATACATTAATTTGGAGGAGATGGAGTTTTGCAAAACTAGAAGGGGAGGATCGACCAGAGCCAAAGAAGGAGAAAAGCCCACAGAGAGGAAGGTCGCCCAAGAGGAGTTCGCCCAAGAGGAGTGGGCCGAAAAAGGCATCACCCAGGAGAGAGAGTCGAGATTCAAAAAGGGAGAAGAGGGATGAACGGCAGAGGAGGTCGATGTTGTTCGAAAGACAGAGATACCATACTTTTACTCCTTTGAGAAAAGATATGACAGAGGTGCTCGAGGCTATGGAGCAGAAGATGGCAAGCGAGGACGTGACATGGCCGAAGACGAGGTTTACCGGCCCGATTAGACCCAGGTCGGATGTCTACTGCTGTTTCCACCGAGATTATGGTCATACTACGGAGAACTATAGACATTTGAAGGATGAGATCGAGAGGTTGATTCGAGCTGGGTACCTGAAAGAGTTTGTGTATCAGGATAGAGCAAAAGGGAGAAGAAGGAGAAGGTGTCGGGAGGATTCGGAGGAAAGAAGTGACAGGGACGAGGAAGGAGGCGGTGGATATGGTCGAGACGGTTGAGGGAAGAAGCCGAGGAGAGATGGCAATAGGGAAGGGCACGGAAGAGAAGCTCCGATGAAGAGAGGGACGATTTACATGATTTCTAGAGGGCCAATGGATGGTGACTCGAATAGGGCCAGGAAGGAGCATGCTCGACCTGTGAAGAGGAAGAGAGAGGAGGTAGGGATTACGGCTAGTATGCCGGTGATAAGTTTTAAGGCGGAGGATGCTGAGGGAGTGGTCCTACCGCACAACGATGCTTTTGTGATAACCGCGGAGGTTGCAGGCTTTGACGTGAAGAGGGTGTTCATTGATACTGGAAGTTCGGTAGACATGATGTTCTATGACTGTTTTGTGCAAATTAATAAGGAGTTGAATATGGAGCTGAAGCCGGTGACCACCGCCCTTTATGGCTTCAATGGAGGAGAGGTGGTGCTGATGGGCGAGGTAAGTTTGCCAGTGGCGTTGGGAGCAGAAGAGCTGAGGAAGGTGCGCATGGTGAGGTTTGTGGTCGTAGGAGCTCAATCATCTTATAACATCATTACGTGGCGGACGAGCTTGAATGCATTCCAGGCGGTCGTATCCACGTACCACATGACGATCAAGTATCCTGTGGGTGAAAACGTAGGGGAGATTGTCGGGGATCAACTTACTTCAAAGAGCTGCTATCAAACAACGGTGAGCAATAACAAGCAGCTGGCAAAGAGGCAGACCAAGTCGAAGGAGGAGGAGGTTAATCGACCAAGTGGGTCGAGGTTAAAAGAGAATTAACAGAGAATGGAGAAGGGTAAGGAGAAGATGGATATCCAACCAGGGGGAGAAGTTGAGGAGATTCAGGTGATCGAGGGGTGTGAGGAGAGGAAATTCAGAATCGGGAAGGACCTGGAGGAGCCTATCCGGTCGAGGCTGGTCGATCTGGTTAGGGAGTTCGTTGACATTTTTGCCTATACAGCGGAGTAGTTGACGGGGATAAGTGCGGAGGTGATCGAGCATAGGCTGAACATCGACCTCAGTGTGAGGGCGGTGAAGCAGAAAAGAAGGCACCATGGGGCGGAGATGGACAAAATCATTGAGAAGGAGGTCGAGAAGCTATTGGGAGCAGGGCATATCAAGGAGATCCAGTTCCCCGAATGGTTATCAAACACAGTGATGGTGTCGAAGGTAGAGGGAAAATATAGGATGTGCATTGATTTCTGTGATCTGAACAAAGCATGCCCAAAGGACTTATACCCACTGCCCAGAATCGACCAGCTGGTCGACTCAACGGCGGGGTGTGAACTGCTGAGCCTGATGGATGCCTCCCAGGGATATCATCAAATTCCCTTGGCGAGAGAAGACAGGAAGCGGGTGAGTTTTGTAACAAGTCGATGAACCTATTTCTATGTGGTCATGTCGTTCAGCCTAAAGAATGCAGGCGCCACGTATCAAAGGTTGGTCGATAAAATTTTTAAGGAGCAACAGGGGAGGAACATGGAAGTGTATGTGGATGATATGTTGGTGAAAAGCAAGGAGGGGTTGGATAATGTGCGAGACTTGAGAGAAACATTCTCAACATTGCGGAGGTGTGGGATGAAATTGAATCCAGCTAAGTGCTCTTTTGAGGTGAGGTCAGGAAAATTCTTAGGTTATTTGGTGACCAAGAGAGGTATTGAGGTGAATCCTGAGAAGGTTCGAGCTGTAACGGAGATGAAGCCGCCGACGAACATTAAAGAAGTGCAGATATTAGCTGGTCGAATAGCGGGGCTGAGTCGTTTGATATCAAAGGTGGCAGAGAAAAGTGGCCCATTATTCAAAACACTGAAAAAGAGCTCGAAATTTCAGTGGACGGAAGAAGCGCAGAGGGCGTTTGAAGAGTTGAGAGGGGTACTGGCTAACCTTCCCTTGTTGGCTAAACCCGCGCAAGGTGAAGAATTGGTGCTGTATATTTCCATCGGAGAAAGGGCTGTGAGTTCGGTGTTACTACGAGAAGAAGGAGTGGCACAGTTCCCTATTTATTATGTAAGCAGGGTGATGCAGGGCGCAAAGATGAGGTACTCGGAGATCGAGAAGTGTGCTTTAGCTGTGGTGGTAACTGCTCGAAAATTGAGGCCCTATTTCTTGAACCATAAAGTGAAGGTGCAAACGAACATGCCATTAGGGGAAACGCTCGGCCGACCATCGGTCTCTGGTCGATTAGTAAAATGGGCAGTTGAGCTGAGCGAATACTCTTTATCATATGAACCGAGGAGGGCCATAAAGGCGCAGGTGTTGGCAGATTTTATTCAAGAAGGTACTAAGGTCGAGGAGGAGTCTTGAGGAGTGTGGCAGTTATTCGCGGATGGGTCTGTGGCCAGAAGTGGGGCTGGATTAGGAATTGTCCTTGTTTCTCCTAAGGGCGATAATTTGGAGTTTGCGGCCAAAGTGGGGTTTAAAATATCTAATAATAAGGCTGAATATGAGGCGGTTATTAAAGGCCTGCGGTTAGCCATGGCGGGAGGAGCTCGAAAGGTGCTAGTACATTCCGATTTCCAATTGGTGGTTGGGCAATTACAGGAGGGATTCGAGGTTAAGGAGGATCGAATGCAGAAACATGTAGACTAAATGAAGAAACTATAGGAGGAGTTCCAGTCGTTCGAGCTTATACAGATCCCCCGAGGAGAGAATGGTCGAGCAGATTTGCTAGCGAAAATTGCTCAAAGTTTGGTGGACTGCCGGAGTAGAAGTGTAACGCCCCACTTTTATTTACCGAAAATCAAAATAAATTTTTCGAAATTTATTTTCAAAAAACACTTGAGGCGCTACTCATTTTCAAAACGATAATCAATGTTCAACATTTTCTCAATATTCGACAATTATCAATACTCATAATCAATATGAAAATCCCAATAATTAATCAATAATTCAATAATGATCCTAGAGAAATAATCCCTACCAATAATCCAATACTTCAATACTAGAAAAACAATAGTCAATAATAATGCAATAATATCCAAGTTCAGTTCAAAGCGGAAGCATTTATTCAAATTAAAGACCACCACTCGCATCCCCTCCGTCGTGCCACTCTATCTAACCTGCATCCATGAAGAGCAAGTGGGGATGAGCACAAAGGAAAACAGTAGTGCTCACCGCTATGCCATAAATGTTAATGTCAATAATCAACAGTAATCAATAATCAAAAGGTATGGTCTCATCATGTATACGAAGCAATAATATATCCCATTCTCCCATCAATAATACAATAATCAGACTCATGTGCACACCTACGCATAGATTACTGCTGACTATATATCGAATGCCCTCCGGTCCTATATCGAGTGCCAACCAGTAGGAGTAAACCACCCCACCGGCCAAGGTCTTGCCTTGGACTTACCAATGAGGATCACCGGCTGAGGGACCTAAGCCCTGGTCTTACGGCTTCTCAAGGGAGACTACCCGAAGGTACGTTCTATAGCTACGGGGACAATCGTCCGGTGGCCGATACAGCTCACACCGAAGGCTACATGATTCATATGCAGACTTTGATCATACCACAAATAAAATAGTAATAACATTTAAGGCATAGTAAATTTTTCAAAACCCACCTGAAAATTTCGGTAGAAAATGGCACACAAAAGCAAGTACGTAGGATGAGGCTCGACTCCTAAAACACCTACATTTAAGCGAGATATTTTATCAATAATTTATCTCACTACTCGGATTTAACATAAAACCCATACTTAATAAAAATTAAGACTTAAGGGTTTTAATCGGATTTTTCGTGGACTTGGAACTCTCTCATTTTTGCAAAATAGGACACGGAAAATTAATTTAGAGTCTCGAACTTTAAAATAATTTTCTCAAATTTTTCTATTTTGAAAATAATTTTTAGAATTGAAATCGGTATTAAAAACGGGCTCCGGAATACAAAAATTGGCTTCTGGAACTCAAATTAGGGCTAAAAAGCTAGTTGGACCCCGCTGGAATTCCATTGCCATTGAAATGGGCCCACACGCGAACTTGGGCCGCAAATTAGACAAGCAAAGGGGCCGCATAGGCCTGCTACCTGCTGCAGGGCAGAAAATTGGGCTCGCGGGCCGGACACGGGCTCGCGGGCCAGGCTGCTGAGGGAGCTTCGGGCCGAACGCGGGCCAAGGGTTAGAACAAAAAAAATAAAACCTACAACACAATGCTGGGGTTCGAACCCCTAACCACAATATAATACTCAAAGCACTGAACCACTGCGCCACACGAACCGTTGGTACTTTATTAGGGAAAATTAATATAAAACCAATCTAGCAAGCTGAACAGAATTTGGGAAAACATAGAAGCTGAAAACCAAACAGCAGCTGGAAATTGCGACCAAAATTCGACGGGGATAGATCCGTCAGCAATTAGGTCCACAACTTCAAAATTTTACAACAAAATATAACACAACTCAGACTTTGAAGAGTTTATAAAAATCGAGTTTTGAGACGAATAAATGGAACGACATATATGAGTCGAACGAAAATGAACAACCTAACGACAACTCGAAATTACAAAACGAGACATCGAAATTACACAAATTCAACACAGCAGCAACGAGACTCAATTAATACGATAAACGAGACTTCCGATAATCCACGAAATTTCACAATCATACGAAATAAATAACGAACATATGAACCAACCGAATATATGATAGTCGAATCAACAAGCAATTAATTCCAGCAACATGATAGCACGGACAGTAAAATAGAATGGTTCGAAAGGATTACCGTCTTCGGGAATCTATGAGTTTATCGAAAAATGGTCGGGCCGAACGAACGATACTCGGACTCTCTAGAAAGTGCTGCTCGCGAACGGTATCAAGGTTTAACTGAAGCCAACGGCGAGAACTTGCCTCAACGGACGTGCTGCACGCTGCTCGAAGAAGCTCTGTGGTCGCCGGAAAGAATGGCAACGGCCCGCTGGTGTCTCGCAAATGGAGCTTCTGTGATGGGCTCGTCGGCGAACGGTCAGGGCATACGAGAAGGGCTCGGGACAACGGTCTGCATCGGTTTATGGGCTGAGGGAATGCCGGAGATGATGGTGGTTCGCTGGATAAATTGCAGGTTTGCGATATTTTTTTTTTTTTTAAATTCTGCGAACAGAGAGAGATTGGAGAAGAGGATGCAGTTTCCTTTTGAGTGTTCCAAGGACGGAACTTCAGTCAGATATAAGCGTAGACGAACGTGCGAGAGATTCTCCCTAAAGAATCGCAACTATCGAACTGTTGGCAGAGGACTCGGTCGAAGAAGAGAGCAGATGAAGAGATAACTCACGCTGGGCTGGGAGTTCGTAATTTCATGGGCCAGAATAAATCATAATAAAGGCCCAATTGTTTTAACTGGTTTGGGCTGAAAAAATTACAGTGGGTCCATACAAATAACATAGTAAAAGGTATTGGAATTAAATTCCAATTGGGACGAGATTTATATCCAAGGAATAACATCGAACAAATCGCGTGACGACAAATATGTTAATCCGGAATATATATA